TTAAAGGTGCCATAGAATGGAAAACTGTATTTACCTTGGCATAGTTGAATAATAACAGTTCTGTACATGGAAATGACATACCGTGAGCCTCAAACAAACACCATAGTTTCCTCATCCTTATGTAAATCTCGTGCATGCAAAAGACCACTGAAAAATAGGCGAATCAGAACATAACACCGACTGACGTTACAGTCGGGATCACTAATAGTTACGCCCCTAATATTTGCATATTGGCAAGCATCTGATCTTGTAAAATGTGTGGTAAGTAAGTACTGCCGCTGTAGTTTACACAGAGCACGTGCGATCGCAAATCTCGAAAGTGAAAGTAAAAAGCAATCGTGCATTCGAAAGCAGTTTGATGCCGCATTTTATATACAGTATAATTACCCAAGGATATAACTGCGAGAGAGAGTACTGAAATATATATTTTCCCTGTTTCTTTCCTGCTGTGTGAGCTACTGAAATGAGCGGCACTGTGAAACAGCCAATCAGAGCAGAGCTCAACATTGAGCCACACTGTGAAACAGCCAATCAGAGCAGAGCTCAACATTATTATTCATAACCCTTCCAAATAAGGTAAAAACAGACCATTTCATTCTAGGGACAAATCCTAGGGTTGTAAATGGACATGTAAAATCGTTTCTGGAGATTTTTACCTAAGATTCTTACCTAAGCCACATACCTTCTATGTAGATATCAGAGAACAATTTAAAATATTGTATCAATGCATTCTATGGCACCTTTAGATTTTCGGACGGGGGTCTCTTTGACAAGGATGATGATATTCATCCATGGGGTCCATGGCATTTAAAAGATCTAAAAGATTGAAAATCCCTGATTTAAGCTAACACAGTAAGTTAACTTGACAAATCTTTACTTAGTTTACTACCCTCAAAACTGGAGTGTCCAGGGGGAAATGCATCATGGGAGAAGGTTGAAGTGAAAAACAATGCCAGAATCTGCAAAGGACAGAAAAATATTTGCAATCAGAGCAATCAGACGTGTAAGTAACCAAAAGAACTGGGATCTCAGTCTTCAAAATGCAAAAATGTATGTCTTTCATGTCTTTCAGTGATTATGGTTTGTCTCTTCAGCCTGGGATTGCCCTGAAAACTCATTCTGCAGCCCATATGGACCAGGGTTCTTTGAGTGTAGCTGTCTGCATCATTTCCATGGATACAAGTGCATGAGACAGGTGAGACCTCCGTCAAATCATCCCAAACAGGTTGGTCATTACTCCTTTATTGCACACGTTCATTGTTCTTTAACAATTGCAGGGGGAGTTTCCTATAGTTAAGGTGCTTGGAATACTAACCGGATCAACAGTTGTGGTTTCATCTTTACTCTGGTTCACACAAAGACGAAAGGCCAAGAACATTTGAGTTTTAAAGAGATCTGACTGTTGGGCTGACAGTGGAGCCACAAAATGCATCAAGCTTATTGAAAATGGTGCAGCAGACCAACCAGTTTCATACACAGGACGGTTAACCATCTGCTGAACATTGCAGTTTCTTGTTTTTTAAACTTGCCGAAAGCAGGTTTGCATGACATACATTTTTTTTAATGAATAATTTTGTAGTTTGTTTTATTTCACTTTCTTTTGACCCTCAATGTCCTTAAATGTTTTTATTTATACATTTTACAAAAGCTTTCATGAATACTGACACATTTTCACAGCCTTGACAAGGCTGGTTTGTAAAGGGAAACTGACCTCGCTGATTGTGTTTGGAGGACAGCCACATTTCTGACAGATGTTTTGACTCTGAACATGTCAAAGTGAAGCACTGAGATATTTTAGCAATGATTTTACAAATATTTTGTGTTGTTTAAAGACAAAAAGTAATTTTATTTTAAAGATTAATTATATAAGAATTATAGGTTTTCTGACATTCATTTTACAATGGAGGGGAAATGGATGTCACAGGACATATTTGTGAAAAATGTATTGTTACAGTCACCTGTTTACAGATGTCACATTTCATATTTCATAACTGACAACTCTTCAACCTCTGAAACTGTATGCTTTTCTTTTTGGCAGTGTAAGTGTAAAAGAGAATCTGTTTGATCTGCTAATATGAGATATATAGACGGACACTATTAGTAGAATACTGACATAAATTTCATTGTGAGTTTCTGCCAAGAATGTAGTATTGTGGTATAGAATTCAGCATGTACCTTGGCAACTAAAATAAAGATTTGTCACAATATCACAAAGAATCAGCCAACAACAGTTTTTTGTAATCTAAACCATCTATTTTTCTGTCGCATTTCCAAGGTTTTGGTAATACAAACAAAACCCCTTATGCAACATAGTCAGCTTTTGCATGGTCTTACACACATTTGAACCATGTTCTATTTCTCTTTTTCACATCAATGAAAGGACTTCGGCAAGAGCAACTATCCAAAAAGGATGATTTTTCTTATGTTTTTGTCTATGCACTGACCACCATGATGGGCCAAAACTAAAAGCACACATGCTTTACAGACACTTTCTTGAATTTTGTGGATCTGACCTTCTTGAGCTTGTGTAAAACAATTCTAAGTACTAATCTGAGAATTTTCCAAAGAAAATCTCATTAGGTGGACTGAACCGGACTGTGTCATTTTTTTAGAAAATGGAATTGGAACAGTTATACAATTCAAAATTAAATGGATCCCACCAGTAAGAATGTAAACAGTGGCTTTATTTGAAAAGCTTGTTCCTTTTCATAGATATGTTTAAGCCCCATGTGCACAGACTCTTTTATGTGCAGATGCAAGAGGGAAGCAGAACCGTGTTTGTCCGCTCTTCACTGATCTACGTTCTTGACTCGCAGTACCACAGGCACAGAGGTGCAGGGGATCATGCCCAAGTCAGTGATTACAAGGTCCACAAAGTCCGGTGGCGTCACGTCATACACCAAGTTCAGAAGCCCCAGTGATTTAACAGTCTGCCAGTTCTCTAGGTGGGTCTTTCCATTTCTGGTAACAATCAGGTCATCAGGGTCATCTGTAAAAAAAATACAAATAAAATGTTATGTTTATTTTTGTGTGTGTAAATACCTATATATGTCACTTATAAAATAAAATAATAGTAAATTCACCAAACAAGCTAAACATCACAGAGTTACCTAATTCATTGGATACAAAAGAGTCCGTCTGCACTCGTTCACAGAACTTGTAGGTCTCACAGCCATGTAAAATCGTTTCTGGAGATTTTTACCTAAGATTCTTACCTAAGCCACATACCTTCTATGTAGATATCAGAGAACAATTTAAAATATTGTATCAATGCATTCTATGGCACCTTTAGATTTTCGGACGGGGGTCTCTTTGACAAGGATGATGATATTCATCCATGGGGTCCATGGCATTTAAAAGATCTAAAAGATTGAAAATCCCTGATTTAAGCTAACACAGTAAGTTAACTTGACAAATCTTTACTTAGTTTACTACCCTCAAAACTGGAGTGTCCAGGGGGAAATGCATCATGGGAGAAGGTTGAAGTGAAAAACAATGCCAGAATCTGCAAAGGACAGAAAAATATTTGCAATCAGACGGCACAGATGTGTAAGTAACCAAAAGAACTGGGATCTCAGTCTTCAAAATGCAAAAATGTATGTCTTTCAGTGCATTTCTTGATTATGGTTTGTCTCTTCAGCCTGGGATTGCCCTGAAAACTCATTCTGCAGCCCATACGGACCAGGGTTCTTTGAGTGTAGTTGTCTGCATAATTTCTATGGATACAAGTGCATGAGACAGGTGAGACCCCTGTCAAATCATCCCAAACAGGTTGGTCATTACTCCTTTATTGCACACGTTCATTGTTCTTTAACAATTGCAGGGGGAGTTTCCTATAGTTAAGGTGCTTGGAATACTAACCGGATCAACAGTTGTGGTTTCATCTTTACTCTGGTTCACACAAAGACGAAAGGCCAAGAACATTTGAGTTTTAAAGAGATCTGACTGTTGGGCTGACAGTGGAGCCACAAAATGCATCAAGCTTATTGAAAATGGTGCAGCAGACCAACCAGTTTCATACACAGGACGGTTAACCATCTGCTGAACATTGCAGTTTCTTGTTTTTTAAACTTGCCGAAAGCAGGTTTGCATGACATACATTTTTTTTAATGAATAATTTTGTAGTTTGTTTTATTTCACTTTCTTTTGACCCTCAATGTCCTTAAATGTTTTTATTTATACATTTTACAAAAGCTTTCATGAATACTGACACATTTTCACAGCCTTGACAAGGCTGGTTTGTAAAGGGAAACTGACCTCGCTGATTGTGTTTGGAGGACAGCCACATTTCTGACAGATGTTTTGACTCTGAACATGTCAAAGTGAAGCACTGAGATATTTTAGCAATGATTTTACAAATATTTTGTGTTGTTTAAAGACAAAAAGTAATTTTATTTTAAAGATTAATTATATAAGAATTATAGGTTTTCTGACATTCATTTTACAATGGAGGGGAAATGGATGTCACAGGACATATTTGTGAAAAATGTATTGTTACAGTCACCTGTTTACAGATGTCACATTTCATATTTCATAACGGACAACTCTTCAACCTCTGAAACTGTATGCTTTTCTTTTTGGCAGTGTAAGTGTAAAAGAGAATCTGTTTGATCTGCTAATATGAGATATATAGACGGACACTATTAGTAGAATACTGACATAAATTTCATTGTGAGTTTCTGCCAAGAATGTAGTATTGTGGTATAGAATTCAGCATGTACCTTGGCAACTAAAATAAAGATTTGTCACAATATCACAAAGAATCAGCCAACAACAGTTTTTTGTAATCTAAACCATCTATTTTTCTGTCGCATTTCCAAGGTTTTGGTAATACAAACAAAACCCCTTATGCAACATAGTCAGCTTTTGCATGGTCTTACACACATTTGAACCATGTTCTATTTCTCTTTTTCACATCAATGAAAGGACTTCGGCAAGAGCAACTATCCAAAAAGGATGATTTTTCTTATGTTTTTGTCTATGCACTGACCACCATGATGGGCCAAAACTGAAAGCACACATGCTTTACAGACACTTTCTTGAATTTTGTGGATCTGACCTTCTTGAGCTTGTGTAAAACAATTCTAAGTACTAATCTGAGAATTTTCCAAAGAAAATCTCATTAGGTGGACTGAACCGGACTGTGTCATTTTTTTAGAAAATGGAATTGGAACAGTTATACAATTCAAAATTAAATGGATCCCACCAGTAAGAATGTAAACAGTGGCTTTATTTGAAAAGCTTGTTCCTTTTCATAGATATGTTTAAGCCCCATGTGCACAGACTCTTTTATGTGCAGATGCAAGAGGGAAGCAGAACCGTGTTTGTCCGCTCTTCACTGATCTACGTTCTTGACTCGCAGTACCACAGGCACAGAGGTGCAGGGGATCATGCCCAAGTCAGTGATTACAAGGTCCACAAAGTCCGGTGGCGTCACGTCATACACCAAGTTCAGAAGCCCCAGTGATTTAACAGTCTGCCAGTTCTCTAGGTGGGTCTTTCCATTTCTGGTAACAATCAGGTCATCAGGGTCATCTGTAAAAAAATTACAAATAAAATGTTATGTTTATTTTTGTGTGTGTAAATACCTATATATGTCACTTATAAAATAAAATAATAGTAAATTCACCAAACAAGCTAAACATCACAGAGTTACCTAATTCATTGGATACAAAAGAGTCCGTCTGCACTCGTTCACAGAACTTGTAGGTCTCACAGCAGACCAGCACTGGTACATTGTAGGCCTTTGCTACCAGGGCAATCTGGGAAGTTCCCACACGTGACATCACATATCCATTGGCAAGGAGTGCATGGGCACCAAGAAATACCTTGGATACCTGGAAATAAGAGTGCAAAGTCCAAGTTCTGATTCAGCCTTCATGATAACAATGTTTTTAATGGCAACATAAAGGCCAGTTAACTTTAGTGCAATCACACTAACGTTCAAGTTTTTTTTTTTTGAAGGAAATTCATATTTTTATTCAGCATGTACCTTTTAATACTTTTATTCAGCATGTATGCATTAAATTGATCAAAAGCGACAGTAAAGAAATTTATCATATATTTCGATTTTAAAAACGCTGTTCTTTTGAACATTCTATTCATCAAAGATCCTGCAACAAAAATGAAGGATCACGTGACACTGAAAACTGGAGTAATTACTTCTGAAAATTCAGGTTTGCTATGACGGGGAAAAAAAAAATCACATTTTGAAATATATTAAATCAGAAAACAGTTCTTTAAAATTTTAATATTTTTCGACAATATTGCTGTATCGCTGTATTTTTGATCAAATAAACAGTCTTGGTGAGGATGAGACTTTTTCAGAAACATAAAAAAAAATCTTACTGACCCCAAACTTTTGAACAGTAGTGCACACTATATTTTGTTTAACACAATAATCTAAACATTCAGAACCTTGCAGTGCCATATAATAATTAAATTGCCATCTAAGAGTGTCCTTAAAGCTGTAGTCCGTAAGTTTTGCCTCTTTGTCGCCATCTCTGTTTGAAAACCTGCAATTGCAGCTGTCTGCGGAATTATCTTCCCTGCGTGGGTTGTGCTCCGGCACGGCTCCAGCGCGGATGAATCTCATGTTTTGAGGAGTATGTGTGGCTGTCAGTCACTGCACCGGTGTGGATATTGTACTTTGCACTCACAGATTCTAGCCTACGTCTTGGAATATATGACTCAAATAAGATTTTTCACCGGATATTGTCATCTGAACAAGTACGTAACAAGTCTGCCACATTTGTTCTGACCAACTGAGGAAAAAA